TCGGCAAAACCCACCTGTTGCAGATGCTGCAGTGGTGAGTCCGGGCCGGTTTGGGGTAAATGCACTTCTTACAGATGGAGACAGTGGCAAGGTCATTCCTGCCCTGCGCAAGGGAGAGCGACATGTGACAGTGTCTAGCCCTCGAGGAACATCAAGGCTCCCTCCCGGCACACCAGGGGGCGGGGGGGGGGGGGGGGGCGCTGCCTGGGCGTCCCACCTGGGGCGGGTATCCGGGTGGAGTGGTGATGGCCTGGTAGTAGTGGAAGACAATGAGGATCAGATTCCAGTGGCTGTAGAAGAAATGCCAGCAGAGCCGTGGCACGGAGTAGGTCTGGATGATGAGGGGTAGCACACACAGGTAGGCGATGGCCACAATGGAGCTGGTCAACACCACCACCAGCACCACGAACACCTGCCACGGCAGCACGGGCGGGGGAGCCGCGGTGAGAGGGCTGGCCCGGTCACTTCCAAAGACACATGCCCCCCCCCCCCCCCCGCCGACCCCAGACGGCCCTCTTCCCCTTATGCCCTGGGCGTCACTCACCACCCCACACCAGCGGATCACGTTGTCCACCAGCCAATAGATAGGCTCGAAGGCAGCATCGACAGCGGCGTCCGTACCCCCGAAGGAGTTGTAGAGCAGGGAGCGCAGGCAGACCTTGCCATAGCGCCAGCGCTGCACCAGGCCGCGCAGCAGAGGCGGGCAGCGGCGCCGAGAGCCCAGCAGCAGCAGCAGGCGCAGGCAGAGGCGGGCAGGGCCCAGCAGCAGGCTCCGCTGGCCACGCATGACTCCTACGAGAGCACACACTGGGCTGAGCACCGGGCCGGGCCCTGGGCCCCCAAGCCCACCAGGGGAGGCTCTATGGGCACTGGCGGAGAGAGGAAGGGCCCAGGGAGCTGACCTGCAGCGGCGGGCATCGGGACGCTCCCCAGGGGCAGCACCAGCTGGCAGAGAGATCTCGGGACAACGGCTAGACATGGGGGAACTGCATGGCGGGTGCAGGGCGAGTTCAAGATAGGGTACCGCCTGGGGTAGAAGCCACAGGGGAGGGGGGAGGAAGGTAGCTCTGAGCCACAGCAGGGCTTGGAGGATGGTCTGTGGATACAAGTGTTTCCCACATGGGGTGACAACTGGCCCCCAGGGGACACCGGAACAATCTGTCTGCTCATTTATGAAATACAGATTTACAAAGTGGTGTTGACTTCCCGCCCCATCCCATCCCTGCCTGAAAAAGAGACAATAGAAAAAAATAAGGGGCCAGAGCAGTAGTACAGCTTGCCTTGTCCACAACAGACCTGGGTTTGAACCCCGGAGCCCACCAGGAGTGATCCCTGCACCTCTGAGCATGACTCGAAAACAAACACCGAGTAAGTTTTGGAACGTCTGGTGTAGACAGAGCATGCAGAATTCGCACCAACTGCCCACATATCCCAACTGCCCACCCACTGAGCTCCCTTTTCAGCGAGGACCAGCCACAGCCGAGGGCTCAGCAGGCAGATGAAGCTGATTCCTCCTCCGACCAGCCCCGAGCGTGACGGCCTGAGAGTCCCCTCACATCAGGCCACCCAGGCCCCCTGCACAATGTCAGAGGCGGGGGTGGGGGGTAGAGAAGACCACTCCCAGTGTGGGGCGCAGAACTCCGCCTGGAACAGGAATCTCAGGTGGTGGGCTGGGCCCCACACGCTGGAGCTCACAAAGACCAGCCCCTCTCAGTGATGGTGTCTCTGGCTCTGTCCTAGCTGGACACCCAAGAGCCTTCTCTAAGAGCTGCCCTAGGCACCGAACTTCCCATTCTTCCCAGGAATCGAAGATCCTTCCCCTGGCTGCCAGGCCTGCACTGCCCACTCCTTTTGGGGTTCCTACACCATCCAACAGGCATGAGAGGTCCGTATCCCGGCAGTGCCCACACAGAAGGTCACAGAGATTCTACACATCAACTCCGCAGTCAAGCCCAGACCAGAGGAGACTTCACCCAGTCTTCTCCCTGGCTACTCTGTCCTCAGCTACTCCACTGACTTATTTAACAGGCAGCTCAAAAATCAGCAGAAACCGGAGGAGTCTTTTTGCAGTAAGATGGTTTCCACTCCGTAACTGGAGCAGGGTGCACTTAATTACCTCCTTCTATCAGCCCGAGGAGACCCGAGGCAGTAAGAGATCCTGTAGGAAAGGCCCCAGAAAAAGAAATGAAAGACCATTCAATACCCGGATAAGGAAACTGGCCAATCCCTTTACTTGCTAGGAGCTAAGTAAATTCCAAGGAAATAATACAGAAAAGGAAAAGGAAGAACCTCAAACTTCCTGCCTCCTCTGAGATGGAGCCTTATTGCTGGGGACCAGGATGTGGCTTAAAACATGAACAGAAAGCATCTTGTCCCAACCAGATATAAAAGTGCCACAGAACAGATGCCTCAACAGCAAATCCAAGTGACTCAGACCATCCACACGACCTAGTCATTTCCTAACTATAACTAGCTGAGGGACAGTTTCCTACTTGCTAAAATAGGGACTTTTTTAGAGCAATAATTTTGAAGGAATATGCATTTCAAATCCGTGATAAACATGAACAATATGGCAACCCCCCCAAAAAAAATCTTCCTTCTTAAATACTCTACATTTCAGACTCGGGATCACTTCTGGAACGCCTGAGATTCAGAGGAAATTCCTGCCTCAAGGACTTGACTTAGAAAACTTGCATCTTCACCATAATTTGAGCGCTTAGGGTTCCATTCAGCTCTCAGGGAGTTTTGTGACCTGGAAAAACACTGAAACTTGCGGGGCCTCGGTCTGGACCCCATTTCCTTGTGCGCCCTCTCAGTAAGAAAGCAGGGTTAAATGCCAAGGTCCCTTACAGCTCTACCCCATTATAAGTCTGTATATAAATGAAAGGTTTATGGAGGACTTAGCATACTAATCTGGCTCACAGAAGTCATGGACGAATACCTCAGAAAGATGCAGAAGTATAAAGGCTGGTCTGATGTGTGGGTCCCATGAATGCCAGCAAGGGTAGCACGCCAGTGTAAGGGCACTACATAAGTGTCTGCTGCCATGTAATGGAGAGAAATCACCAAATAATCAGTGTTAGATTACTTCTTATGATGGAGAGAAACCACCAAATAATCAGTGTTAGAATCCTAACTGTGCATTTTAGCAAAGAAAGCCCAAGCAGAAATCAACTCAAACATGGTGACAGAAAGCTTGGAAAAGTGGACTCCAGATCAGATTGGAGTGAATGAGGTTTGAAGTCTAGCTCTCTAGACCTCCTTTTATTTTTTATTTATTTATTTGGGGGGGTCACACCCAGCAGTGCACAGGGGTTACTCCTGGTTCGCACTCAGGAATGACTCCTGGCGGTGCGCAGGGGACCATATGGGATGCTGGGAATCGAACCCGGGTTGGCCGCATGCAAGGCAAACGCCTTACCTGCTGTGCTATCACTCCAGTCCCCCTCCTTTTATTTCTGGTCATACCTGGCCATGCTCAGGGCTTACCCCTGGCCCTACACTCATGGTCACTCCTGGCGGCTTCAGAAATAAATGGGTACCAGGGATGGAACCCACATCAGCCCGTGTGCAAACCAAGTGCAAGTGCCTGGCCTGTACTATCTCTCCAGCCCCAGCCCTCATTTTGGCTGTGGTGGGCCGAGGGAAAGTGGATGGCAGGTAAAGCCACAACCAAACCTAGCAGTTTCCTCTCAGAAAACAGAGGAAGCAGAACTCTGAGTAGACATCTCAGGGGAAAGGGAGGACGCAAGGCATGCAGAGTGTCATGTGCCATCGTCCCCCCTCGCCCTCCGAAAGCCCTGAGCACTCTGGTCCCACAGGAACCGCTGCAGGTCATGGTAACAGCCGCCATCAAGTTTGGCGGCTGGAGGTGGAGGGAACCTGCACTGGATGGGGGTGAGGGTGGGGGAGCTCAGAGTCCACGGGTTCCAAAGCCACCACGGGGAGACCCAGAGACGGGATGCGGAGGAGCAGCAGGTATTCCTGGGTGCAAGCAGTATTGGGCTAACGGGCTCCAACGGTCAGCAGCCCGGCAGGGACAGGAAGCTGCCGCGCAAAGCCCAGAAGGGAAGAAGCAGCTCCAGCCGCAGAGCCCGGTTCAAACCCGACACCACTGCCCGGCACCTCGTGGATCCCGGGGCACCGGCTCAGAAGGAGCCCTGAGCACCGGATCGCCGTGTGCGGGCCCCCACACCTGAATTCACTAAAAATCGGAAAAAGGGAACCCGAGGGAAAGTTCCGGGGTTACGGCGCTTTCCTGGCCCGCGGCGGATCCCACTGCATTCCGGGTGCGCTGGTGTGTGGTCGGTCCCGAGTACCACCGGGGGTGGCCCCTGAACACTGCCGAGTGGGTCCCCCGACGCACACCAAAAAAAAAAAATCAGAGAGGTTTTTATTTCTCAAGGAGAGTGCCACGGTCAAAGTGGGAGGAAGTCGAAGCCACAAATGCGGGACTCTGGGTCTACCTTGAACTACCCCGGAGAATCTGGGAAGTTTGCACATTTGTGCAAACGAGCGGGCGGGCTGCTTTGACCTTCCCGCTCCACCAGGTACCGCTGCCCGGAGCGCGCGCTGGGCGCCGCTGGGAGGCACGCACGGCCGAGCCGGGCGGGGGCAGCGCGCCAGAACCGGACTCACGACCCGGCCCGGAACTCGGCCCGACCCTAGCGGGGAAGGGGGGGCAGGTCAGGGAGCAAAGGCCGAGGCTTCGCTCTTACCTGCCACCTGCCGAACTCTCCGCTCTGCCAAACCGAGCTCCGTCGCCGTCACTAACTGTCACCCTCTCCAGCCGGGCGCCCGGGCCCACCCGGGCTCAAGCCCATCCACCATGGCCCGTCGCCGCAGCGCCAGCCCGAGCAGCCGGAGCCGGCGCCAGCCCATCCTCGGGCGCGGGCGCGGGCGCAAGCGCAGGCATCACGGGGCCCCGCCCCTCGGCTTCTTTCCGGGGCAACCTGGGAACACCCCCCCACCCTCTCCGCGGGCCACGTGACGGAACCGGACCAATAGGCTTCTTCCTTACTGCCGACTTACTTCCGGCGCTGGAAGTTAACCAATGAAAAGTCGCCTTCGTTTTCCGGCCGCCTTGGAGCCGCGGCAGTGATGGCGCCGCCCGTGCGGTACTGCATCCCCGGTGAGGGAGCGTTGTCCGGAGAGCGAGTTCACGGGGGGTGGTTGGGACCCCGAGGATGGGGGATAGCTTCTTCCGGGGACGCGTACGCTGACGGCGCGGGTTCTCGTTCTCTCGCAGGCGAGCGTCTGTGTAACCTGGAGGAAGGCAGCCCGGGCAGCGGCACCTACACCCGCCACGGCTACATCTTCGCGTCGCTGGCCGGCTGTCTGAGCAAGAGCAGCGAGAACGGCGCGGTACGGGGCCGGCCTCCCTCCTCCTCGGCCTGTGCCTTCTCCTCGCCCGCCCCTGTGGTCGCGGCGCTTCGGGGCGGCGTCATGCTGTTCACAGTGACCGGCTGGTGCCGAGCGTTTCTCCCGCACGCGTGTGGTTCCCGCCCTGGGCCTCCGCCCCCACCCCGGTACTCGTGCTGCGGCTCTTCCGCGGTGTGGGTGCCCGAGCCTCCCTCCGGGGAACGGGGCTGCCGAAGAGCAGAGCAGGCCCGGCGTGAGCTGAGTCCGGGCCGAGTCGCCCGCGTCCCCCCGCCACGCCAGCCCGGCCTGCAGCCTCGTCCTACCAGCTTTGTCGAGCACGCCCCTCTCCGCCGCCCTTTTCATTCTGAGCCCTCTGATACCTTCTGTGGTTTCACTCAGAGAAACCCATACAGGCCCATTGTCTAAAAACGCGGGAGTTTCATTAGTTTGGGTTTGGGGTTTTGTTTGTTTGTTTCGTTTTGTTAAACTCAAAAAAAAAAAACAAAGTATTGGGGGACTAGAGAGATTGTATAGCAGGTAGTCTGCTTGCTTTGCACCTGGTCCCAGATTCAGTTCCTGGAACCCAATACGATCCACCTAGTGTCACTAGTAAACCCTGAGCACCACCAAGTTTCGCCCCCAAAGCCAAAAGAACTCGTTTTCTTTCCAGCATATAATTCGGCATATAGCCAAACACTCAGGTATATGTTTCCCTGCTGCGTTCTGCATGACAGCGGGTGTCTCCTTCCCAGGATTAGTTTGTCATTGTCCTCCCTTTGTTCTTCGATTTCCTCGAGCAGACCCAGTACCATCTCCATTGTGAGACTTGTTACTGTGTTTGGCATGCCGTGCGGGCGAGATACTCTCGATAGCTCCCCAGGCTCTCAGAGGGGCAGAGGAATCAAACCTTGGCCAACCAGGTCGGCCGCGTGCAAGGCAAACGCCCTACCCACTGTGCTATCTATCGCTCCAGCTCTAGGATTAGTTTAGCATCACTTAAACAGTCTTTGAAGGCCCAATTTAATGACGGACAGGCATAGTAGAGAAAGAGAACAGAACGAGAGCAGCTAGGTACTAGCGAACTCTAATGATTATGTGTTGGGTATCAAGCTTGAACTCATAGCTCCACAGACTGGAGCATAAGCTTTGCCTGCGGGAGACTTAGGTTTAACCCTCGTCCTGGCGTGGGGCCCTTCTGAAGCAGCACAGGGAGGAACTGGCAAGCTGGGCATAGCCCTGAGCACAGTGAGGCACTGTGCTCCAAACAAAGTAGAGAACTAATCAAAAATTACGGTAAATGATGCTGTAACCTAACAACCACATAACATTGTTCTTGTGGCACTCTTGGCCCTCTTAGCTCCTAAAATGTCTAATGCTTTCCGCTCTGAGCTACAAATAAATATGAACTCCTCTTTCTGTGACCCTAACTATGGACCAAGGCATTCAGGTATTACATTTACGGACACACACTTTAACCCCAGACTTGGCTAAAATGTTCATGTTTTGTTCTCTCTGCATCCAGCTTCCGGTCGTGTCTGTGATGCGAGAAACAGAATCTCAGTTACTGCCGGATGTGGGAACTATAGTAACATGTAAGGTAAGTTGATCCTATCTTCCTTCTTAGGACACTCCCCCAGTACTAAGAAGGGGTTTCCCCAAGTGCCGCCAGGAGTAAGCCCTGAAGACCACCAAATGTGGCCCCAAAACAGACCAGCAATAACAACAAAAAATAAGAAAATTGGGCCAGAGATACAGTACAGCAGGTAGGGCGCTTGTCTTGCGCACAACTGAACCTGTGTTCGATCCTCAGCATCCAGTTGTCCCACCTCTGCCCCTGGCTGAGGATGCCAGGAATGATTCCTGAGTGCAGAGCCAGGAGTAAACTTTGAGCACCGCCGGGTATGACCCAAAAAAACAAAACAACAAAATCTATTAAAGGCCCTCCCGTTGATTGTCGATTTGCTCGAGCGGGCCCAGTAACGTCTCCATTGGAGACTTTGTTGTTACTGTGTCTGGCATATCGAATACTCTCTGTAGCTTGCCGGGCTCTCCGAGAGGGGCGGAGGAATCGAACTCGCGTCGGCCATGTTGGCGGCGTGTAAGGCGAACGCCCTACCCGCTGTGCTATCATGCTAGTCCAAAAGTATCTAGAGAGGTGGTGATCCACTTACTATTCAATAGCTGAAGTGTCATCTTAAATTCTGTTTACCGCAGGCTTCTTTAAAAGCCTAGACTCACTGCGATGCTATATCAAAGTCTATACCGTATTATTAGGTATGATTTCCACAGTAGCTCCATTAGATAACCAGGGTGGTTCTTGTATTTTTCTCTGTTTTGTTTGGGATGCCAGGTGTTGTACACACAAAGGTTGTGTCTGCCACTAAGCCCCCTCTCTGGCCACTGGAATGGCTCATATTGCACATTATATGAGAGAGGTACAACTTAGTATGCCTTAATATGTATTCTTAGTAGGGTTGGACTACAATCCTAGTAAACCTAGATTGGGGGTTTTGGTTGTTTTTTTTTTTCTTTTTTCAGTTTATTGTTGCTTCAGTTTATTTTTATAAGCTCAGTTTTTCAGTTTATTAGCTGGCAACTGCAGTATTCTAATGCTGCTCTTTTCTCTATTCCATTAATAGGTCTCTAGCATTAATACACGCTTTGCCAAAGTACACATCCTGTATGTGGGGTCAACACCACTGAAGAATTCGTTTCGAGGAACTATCCGGTAAGTGTTCTTGCCTTCGCTTTCGCCTGCAGTGAAATTTTGGTTGAACAGGAGACTGAATTTTTTTTTTTTTTTTTTTTTTTATTTATTGAATCACTGTGGGAAAGGTTACAAAGCTTTCAGGTTTATGTCTCAGTCATGCAAATATCAAACACATTTCCCTTTACCAATACTTATTTTTTACCATGAAGAACCCCAATAAAACCCCACCCCCCCACCCCTCCCCGTCCCTGTGAGGCAGATGAATTCTAGTTAACACTCTATCTGCTTTGATTAGATTCATTGTTTCAATAAAAGATTCACCACTATTTTTTAGAGTTTACCCCCCCCCCCCAAATCAGACATGCTGAAAAAGCATTGTGAAGTGATTTGCTTTCTACAGCTGGGTTCAAGAATTAAATGTTGGTTTTGGATTTCTGCTATTTTACCTATTGACCCTGGAGGTATTTCTACTGAAAGTCAGATAGTTAAGAAATTGGTTTCTGTGTTCTAGAGTCGTGGCCGTGCTGGAACGCCGCTCGCGGGGGGCAACCGGTGGCCTCGGTAGGGCGTGAAGGGCGGAGCGAAACGCCCCCCTTCCCATGAGGTTTTAGTCGCCCCCACACTCCCGGCTCATACCTGCTGTCCACAAGGCTACCATGTGGCCGCCATCTTTCTTTCCAGAGAGGAGAGGGCGAATGGGGCAACACCCTTTCCCCTCCGGCAGACTTGATGGCCTGGATCAACGCATAGTCCGTTCACTTTTCTGCTCCAAGCTGCTGGGTTCTGCATTAAGTCCTTGTGCTTCTGGGGCCATGGCCGTGCTGGAGAGCCGCTCGCGGGGGGCAACTGGTGACCTCGGTAGGACGTGAAGGACGGACCGGAACGCCCCCCGACCCATGAGGTTTTAGTCGCCCCCACTCCCCCGGCTCATACCTGCTGTCCACAAGGCTCCCATGTGGCCGCCATCTTTCTTTCCAGAGGGAGGAGGGCGGAAGGGAGCAACACCCTTTCCCCTCTGGGCAGAAATGATTGCCTGGATTAACGCATAGTCCTTTCACTTTTCTGCTCCAAGCTTAGGTCATTGTGCTTCTGGGGCTGTGGCCGTGCTGGAGAGCCGCTCGTGGGGGCAACTGGTGGCCTCGGTAGGGCGTGAAGGGCGGTCCGAAAGGGAGACTGAAATTTTTAAAAACAATTACAGGGGCCGGAGCAATAGCACAGCAGCTAGGACATTTGCCTTGTACGCAGCCGATCTAGGTTTGATTCCCAGCATCCCATATGGTCCCCCGAGCACCGCAAGGAGTAATTACTGGGTGCATGAACCAGGAGTAACTCCTGTGCATTGCCGGGTGTGACCCAAAAAGCAAAAAAAAAAAAATAAGAAAGAAAGAAAAAAACAATTATAATTCCTACACTTTTTTCTTTCCCCTCCTTTTATTCTACCGAGGTGGTTTCCCAAAGAAATTGCTCTATGAGTTGGAATAAAAGGAAAATATGGATGAAACTAGAATTTAAAATATGGGGGGTGGAGAGATAGCTCAGTGGATTGAACACATGCTTTTGCATTAAAGAACCCTAAGTTTGATTTCCCTGAGCACTGAGCCAGAAGTAGCACCCAAGCACCCACAGCTGACACCCCAAAACTTTTAAAAAGAAAATAAATAGAAAAGAATTGAGCTAAAATGATATATTCACTGTAGCAATGTCCTCCTGTCGTTCATCGATTTGATCCAGCAGGCCCAGTAACGTCTCCATTGTGAGACTTGTTGTTACTGTGTTTGGTATATTGAATACATCACGGGTAACATGCCAGGCTTTGCCATGCAAGCGAGATACTCTTGGTAGCTTGCCGGGCTCTCCAAGTGGGGCAGCGGAATCGAACCCGACTTGGTCTGGCCAGACTGGCCGCGCACAAGGCAAACACCCTACTGCTATGCTATCGCTCCAGCCCAAAATGATATATATTGGTGTAAAAGACATTTTAGGAAGTTTAAGCCTTCTTGCTTGCATTTTTTGTTTATTTTTAGTTTCTGGACCACACCCAGCAGTGCTCAGGAATTACTCTTGACTGCATTTAGGAATCACTTATGGTGTTGCTCAGGGAACCCTCTGGGATGTTGGGGATTGAACTTGTTTCGGCCATGTTCAAGGCAAGGGCCTACCCACTGTATTCTCTCTCCAGTTCTTCTTGATTAAATTTAATAACAAACCAAAGAACTGTATAACATTAAAAATGTAGAGTTTGGGACTGGAAAGACATACAGCAGGTGAGGTGCTTGCTCTGTAAGCATCTGACGCAGCATCATATGGTCCCTTGAGCACTGCCCAGATACAGTCTAAAAATGGGGGAGAGGAGAATATGTGGTGTGGTGAAGGGACAGGTGTTGGAACATTATATGACTGAAACCCAGTTATGAACACCTTTATAACTGTATCTCACTGTGATTCAATTAAAAATAAATTTATATACGTACACATATATATGTGTATATAGTGCTGGAGATATATATAGTGGGTAAGATCCTTGCCTTGCATGTGGTTAACCCAAGTTTGATCTCTGCTATCCCATATAGTCCCTTGAACCCTACCAGGAATAATTCCTGAGCATAGAACCAGGAGTAAACTCTTAGCACCTCTGGGTGTGGCCCCAAAACAAAAATTCAGGGACTGGCATGGGCCAAGGGGGATGTCTCAAAGGATCAGAACATATGCCTTGCATGCTGGAGGCCTAGATTTGATCCCTAACACCCCTTGCCACCCAAGCACTGATCCAGTAGTCCCTGAACACCACCAGGTGTGGCCCAGAACCAAACCAAAAACACATAGGGTGGGGGGCTAGAGAGACAGCACAGTGGGTAGGGCATTTGCTTTGCATGCGTGCAACCCAGGTTTGAATCCCAGCATCTCATATGGTCCCCTGAGCACCACCAGGAGTAATTCCTGAGTGCAGAGCCAGGAGTAACCCCTGTCATCGCCGAGTGTGACCCAAAAAAACAAACAAAAAAACAACACATAGGGCAGAAAACTACTCAATGGGCTAATGTGCATGCTTTGTATGTAAGAGACCCAGATTCAGTAGCTGGCTCTGTATTGTCCCCCAATCACTGCTAGGAGTGATACCTCAACCCCTCAGCAGCATTCCAGGAATAGTTCCTGAGCAGTGCCAGGTGTGGTCCAAACCCACTCCCCTCCAAAAAAAAAAAAATTAGTGAAATGGTTGTTTTTATTTTCCTGAGGCTTCTTTGAGGAGGGAAAGGGGCTTCTGCTGAAGTGTTTAGCCCAGTATTGCAGGCCAAACAATTTAATACTCCAGCCAGGCAATGCAGTATTGTTCAGTCTATGGTGCTTCTGATAGGTGCTCCTAAGACAGCAGAGTTCCTTATCCTTGATCTGCTTTTCTTTCATCAAGGTAATGGTTCTGCTGCTCTGTGATCCAAGAATAAGAAACAGGATTTTTTTCTCAGGATGAGGACTGCTTTGCCATTCTGCTCCTTTGTTCTTTGTTCTTTGTTCTTTCTGCTCTGTTCTGCTAGGATTCTTTTTTGTTTGGTTCAGGGGCCACATCCAGCTGCTCAGGGATCACTCCTGGCAGGACTGGGGGACCATCTACGGTGCCAGGGATCAAACCCAGGTCAGGCGCTGCTCACTTCAGCCCTTCTGTTAGGATTCTACCCAGTAATTCTTTCTCACCAGTAACCAAATATTTTTTTCTTTTTTTAGCAAGGAAGATGTCCGAGCTACTGAAAAAGATAAGGTAGTTGTTTGTCAGGTTGTTTTTGTTAGTTGTAAGGGCCACACACAGTGATACTTCATGGAGGCCCAGGTAGCACATGGTGTTGGTAGTGGTGGGGTATGTGTTTGTGGTATGTGGTGGTGGTGGGTTGTGTGTATCCGTGGCCCATGGTGCTGGTGGTAGTGTGTGTGTAGCGTGTGTGTGTGTGTGTGTGGGGGGGGGGGGGGGGGAGTGGCCTGTAGTTAGAAGGTTTGTTTTGTTTTGTTTTGTTTTTAAGTATTCCAGTTAATTTCATAGATCTGTGGGAAAGTGGCATCCAGGGAAGTTTATTTCCAACTGGAAAACAGAACTCGCCTCACTTTTCTTTCTATGATTTCTGTTTGTTCTGTGGCTCTGTGAACCAAAGCAGAACTAATGTATTGTTTGGAGCCAGGTTTCCTACACACTTTCTCTGGAACCTTTTGGAGCCAACTATAGTAACTTTTGACAGAGTCACATTCCTTTCTGTGTGGTGGTGGTGAGTTGGGGGGAGTGGGGACTACACCCTGGGGTACTTAGGGCCTTGCTCCTGGCTCTGCTCAGGGATCATTCCTCACAGCATTCTGGAGACTGTAGTGGTGCCAGAAATCGAACCAGGGTCAGCTCATTACTTAGAGAGCAGCTTAGCCTCTGTAACGTCTCTCTGACCCCAGCGACGTCAGATTTTTAACTGGGTTAGTGAATTCAGAATCTTGCGTTTCAGTGATTATTCTGTAGAAGTAATAAACGGTGTTGACTGAGGGCCAGGGAAGTGGCTCAGAGGGCTGGAGCGTGTCCTTTGCGTGTGGAAACCTGGGTTTGATCCCTGCCCACCACATGTCTTCCCAAGCACCACCAGAAGCAACCCCCAAGCACAGAGCCAGCTGGAACCCAAAAATAAACAACTTGTTGGTTGACTTAAATCATGATGAATTCTTGTCTTTTGGACTTGAAAGGTAGACTGGCTCTCTCCATGGGGGCTAACAACCAGTGGTCCGTCGGTCTGATACAGAGCTGTCACTTAACCCTGTTCTTCTTTCTCCACAGGTTGAAATTTACAAGAGTTTCCGCCCAGGCGACATTGTCTTGGCCAAAGTGGTATCCTTTATCCCTGCAGACGTGTGGTCATTTGTCATGAGAAGCCATGGGAAGGGATATGGCTCAGTGGTAGAGCACATGCCTTTCGTACGAGGGAGGAGCCTCCCAGGTATGATGCTTCGCACTGAAAAACAGGAACAAATCAGGTGGCTTAGGTGGGGACAACATAAGCCATCATTTTCCTTCACCAAAATGATATGACTAGATCTCGCTTGGTGATGCACAATCCAACTACCTCCTGACCACAGCCGAAAATGAGCTCGGAGTCGTGGTGGCCCACAGTGAGGCCGGTGAGTTGGGCCACACTGCCATGTGCTAGCCTTTCCCTGTAGCTGTGGATTTGGGATTCGCACATTCCACTCCCCACCCCCATCCCTTTCACACTTTCCTTCTGTTTTTATTAGTTTGGTTTATTTGTTGGGTCGCATTCTTGGTTGTGGTTGCTGGAGGTTGCACACTTTGGCGTACAGTACAGCTCACACCGGGCACGTGGCGCTATGGATTGAACCTGTGACCCATGTCTGCTCAACAGGGGCTTAGCAACCCAGCCCCGACCCCCTACTGCGACCCTCCCTGGTTGAGGGGGCCTGGATTGTTTGTGAGCCACACCCAGCTGTCCCCAGGACCTACTCCTGGCTCTGTGCGTAGGGATCACTCCTGGGTCCCAGATGGCACCCGGGTTGCTGTATCCACGGCAGACGTCTTACCTGCTGTCCCCTCTCTGGCAGCCCTCCCTTGTTTCTTATTGTTTGAGGGAGTGATAGCAGTGTGGAACCTTCCTACTGAAATGACAGTGATTTTTCCGTAGGTCTAGGGGAAAGGCAGGTTCGCACCTTCAGTCAGGTGAATAAACGGTTCTCTCCCATATGAGATGCAGATCTCTGGAGAAGCCTGGTGCCAGTTCTTCTGTACCCTGCTGAAATCTGGGGGAAATGTTTCAGACATATGTTCGGGCTCCGCTCCAGCCGCATCTTTTCCCTTGCAGGTGTCCAGATGGTTCCTATCAGCTGGTGTGAGATGCAGTGCCCTAAGACACATACTAAGGAGTTCCGCAAGGTGGCCCGAGTGCAGCCAGAGTTCTTGCAGACTTAAGAAACCATTCTGTACCCACGGAGCAGGGAAACTGTTTCCAAGACTACATGCATGCAAGTAAAGTCTTGGTGCTGTCATCCTTATTCAGACGTATGGGCTCAGGGCCCCGAACAAGAATATAGTGGGTGGGGCTCTTGCCTTGCATGCAGCCTGCCCAGCATCCCATGAGGTCCCCTAAGCACAGCCACGAGTAATTCGTGATTACATAGCCAGAAGTAACCCCTGAGCATCACTGACTGTGGCCCCAAAACAGACAAAAACCCAGCTCATGGGTCAGCCGGGCCCACCTCCAGAAAAATCCACCAGAAGCCTTCTTTGTAGGTGGGCGTTTTTCTTTTGAACATTTCAGTGAGCTCCATTCTCTCCCAGGGTGAATGTCTTTCTCTGAAGAACCAGCAGACAAATTACATTCTATGGGGGAGAGCCTATTTGTTCTAACAGTCTTGTAAATATGTACTCTTTTTTGCTAAAACAAAGAAAACTTTTCTATTAAAAGTATGTTAGGCTTCTGTCGTCTTGAGCAGGGACCAGAACCTAAATGGTGTTCTGACACTCCGAATAGGGATTTTACCTGGGGTGCCCATTAACAGACGTGTTCCAAAGAGCGCTCGCTTGCAGGCCAGAGTCTAGTCTCCACTGTTTTGGATATTTGGTGTTGTGTTATATGTGTTTCACCTTAACAAGTACTGATTGTGAGCAGCAGGCTCTGGACCCAGTGCTTGACACAGTCCTTTCGGGAGATTGCAGTTAAATGAAAATTCTAAAACTTATTACAGTTGAACATTGAATTACAGGTCCCGGAGATAGTGCAGAGGGTAGGGCCTTGAATTACTGACCTGAATTCGGTCCCCAGTATCCCATCTAGTCCCAAGGCCTGCCAAGAGTGATTCCCTGAACACTGCTGAGCGTGGCCCAAACCTCTCCCACCCACCCCAATCAAACGAATTAACAGAGGTAACGTACTTTCTCAGGTTTCATCCAAATGGTGACATGAATGTGGACAAAGTTGTTTTGACTCTTGGTTTGGCATCTGGAGCATACCTCATTAAAAATAGGATTTTTATGAGGAATAAGTACATCAAAGTGCTCAGTATATTCTAGTATTCTAGTTTATTATGTATCTGGTAGTCTTCTCTCACAACAGACCTATGGTACCCTAGGCTAGATACTTAGGTGTGGTTGGTTTTAGGGATTTGTGTGTTTTGGGGTTGTTTTAGGGTTTTTTTTTTTTTAGGCTTTTCCATCACACCCAGCAATAATCAGGGGTTACTCCTGACTCAGCACTCAGGAATTACTCCTAGTGGTGCACGGGTGACCATATGGGATGCCGGGGATTGAACCCAGGTCGGCTGTGTTGGCAAGACAAATGCCCTACCCGCTGTGCTGTCACTCCGGTTCATGGTGTAGTTGGTTTTAATAAGTCCCTAATTAACAGGGATCTAAAACTCCCTTATAGACAATGCCTCCGAGGAACCCCTGTACCATATCTTTGTACATGTCTCTTTTTTTTGCAAGACAGATAACCTAGATGTGGAATGCTGGATCAAAGAATAAACACATTTGGGATTGTAGAGATAGTACAGTGGGTAAGGGACTTGCCTTGCATGTTGCTGACCCATGTTCAATCCTTGGCATTCCATATATTTCCACTAGGAGTGATTCCTGAGTGCAGAGCCAGGAGTAACCCCTGCACGTCACTGGATATCGCCCCCAAACAACAACAGATCCTCAAGAATAAACACATTTTGGGGCTGGAACGATAGCACTGTGGGTAGGGCATTTGCCTTGCATGCGGGCCAACCCAGGTTCAAATCCCAGCATCCCATATAGTCCCCTGAGCACCGCCAGGAGTAATCCCTGAGCTTCACCAGGTGTGACCCAAAAAGCAAAAAAAAAAGAATAAACACATTTTACTGTTCTTTCCATAGCACCAAATCTAGCAGTGCCTGGAGGCCACTGCGTCCAGCTAGTGCTAGGGGATAGGACTCAATGTATTGGGGATCAAACTCGGTGTTTCACGTGCTGTGTGCTTTTGCTCTTCTACTTGCTCTAGCTCCCTGACGTCCAGTATACATAGTGTGGGTGGAGGGACTCCCAAGCAGTACTTAGAAGACCTAGAGTTACTCCCAGCAGTGCTTGGTCAGTCAGGCCATCAGTGCAGGCGAGGGCCCCAAGAAAGTGCGCTGCTCGGACCCTGTGATGCCAACAAGGTGGTTCCGGAGATCGAAATTGGCCTAGCTGGCATACTGTGTCCCTGATTCCACATTTTAAATTGATTTCGCTCTCTCCCCTTACCACCTTGCAGGAAGATGCTGTCAGTTGATCCTCTCAACAGTGTTGGCTATTTTACTTCTATTAGCTCTATAAGAAAAGTGAACCTGCACAGGGGCAATCGTTTCCACACTTTTTAGTTTGTTTGATTTAGATATTTTCAGGGCATCAACCAGAGGTTCCTCCTGCAGTGCTAGAGCTTTTGCATGCCAGTAGAAATGTGTGCCAGCAAGCTCTTGAAGCTATCTCCCCAGCCTCCATTTCCAGTTTACAAAAGGTGGGGCCAGAGAGATAGTGCAGTGGATAGTGTGTTTACCTTACATGCAGCTGACCCAGGTTCGATCCCTGGCATCCTACATGGCCCCCAAGTACGACCAGGAGTAACTCCTGAGCATAATTGGGTGTAGCCCAAAAACCAAAAAGATGCTGTCAGTTGATCCTCTCAACAGTGATGGCTGTTATACTTCTGAGCTTAGTCACAGAGACATCCCGGGGCAGAGCAGTATTCAAGTCCAGGGCGGTGTGACCATGAAGCCCAGCCCCCTCTCCTGTACTCTGGTGCTTTCTTTCTCCAGATACTGAGTAGAAGCATGACCAAGAAGCATGCAGTTAGAGGCTGTCCATATCGACACTGCTTCATTCACTATGGACGCTTGTTGGACATTGCTCATTCGTTCAGTAAATACATGTTGAGCTGCTTACTCAAGCTTAGCTGCTCCAGGAAGTAGGGCGTGAACATGAACAAGATAGAGCCCTGTGGACCTAAGTTCTAGTGGGGAAAGCTGAGTAAAACAAATAATTTCAGGCCCTGAAGAAGAAAGGCATCATCTAGTTTAGTATTTGAAACAGCTGGATATTAGGGCCTGCTCACAACAGAATAGGTCATCTTTTTACCCATAATCATCCGTTTTGGTTTATTACATGTTTTATGCCAGTCTCCAGTGCTAGCCTGAGCTTTTTATTTATTTTTAGGCCACACCCAGCAATGTTCAGGGATTAATCCTGGCTCTGCACCTTGCCATGCTCTGGGGACCATATGGGGTGTGGGGATAGACTCCGGGTCAGCTGGATACAAGACCTTAGCTGCTATCCTACTGCCCCGGCCCCTAGCCTGAGCTTTTGAGATAGGATTGTTTTAGCTAACTTTGAAGCCCCGTTACCTCCTATCTTAACCTAGCAAAAGCCCAGTAAAATCTTTACTGAATGTAGCCAGAGCTGACAGACCAGGTGTGCTCAATGATGCTGAACAATGAACTGATCTGAAATTGTCTCTTCCTTGCTGAATAGTGCTTCTCATCAGCCTGGACAGCTAAGTTTCAAAACTCCCTGTAAAGGGGACCAGAGAGATAGCACAGCGTATAAGGTGTTGCCTTGCATGTGCCTGACCCTGGTTTGATCCCCAGCATCACAAGGTCCCCTGACTATTGCCAGGAGTGATCTGTGAGCAGAGCCTGGAGTAAGCCCTGAACTCTACTGAGTGTGGCCCAAAAACAAGCAAAACTCCTAAGGCTTTGAAAGAAAAAAAAAAAAAAACAGAAAAATGCCTTAGCTCCTTGCTAAATGTGAGGGTAAAGGTAAAGGTAAAGGTAAAGGCCCTCCCGTTGATCGTCGATTTGCTCGAGCGGGCCCAGTAACTGTGAGGGTAATGAAAAAAATTCAGTAAAAGAATTCTGGAAAATGAATTGAAAATCAACTGTACAATGAATCTGAGATGTTTATGGCATCACCCATGTTGCATTTCTCAGGCAAAATAGGGTTGCCAATGGAAGCAGTTTGTTTTCCAACGTCGTTTACCTTAAGCCCTTCCTGTGTTCTAGTTGAATCTGTGGGTAGAAAGTTGGCCACTGGAGCAGAAAGTCACTGGGGTGGACCCCTGGACCCCTTAAGCACCAGTGGGGAGGCCCAGAAGTTGTGGTGGGTTTGTGTTTTTTCTTAAGTCCTTGATAGCAGTGTTGATCTCTCAATGATTAAGTGATGGTTTCGTTATAGTCCTGCTAGAAGGCAAGAGTTCTAGTCAGGACTCTGAGTGTCAAGAAATGGAGACTACCCTAAAATACCAAATGAGGGGCTGGGTGTTTGTCAGAAGTGATCCCTCAGTTGCAGAGCCTCAAATCAGCCCTGAGCACCACATGGTATGTTCCTCCCCCAAGGAAAAAATAAATAAAATTATGTAGAGCATAGAGCATTATTAATCTGAGTTGTTCCAGTCTGACTTAGTTGAAGAGCATTTGGTCAAAAGGAAGTAACTGAGTTTTGGTATGAAGATTCAATGTGGGCGAAACAAACTTCCCACCATGCTGCCAGACATCAGTCATGAGGGTCTCCCTAGGGATATTGTGTAGACAAGTGACAGAAGTCAACTTGGAAGAGATGCTCAACAGTCTTAGAATTGGGGAGCCGAAAAGTACAGTGGGTAAAGCCTTATACATGGACAGCCCAGTTTGATCCCCAGTACCCAATATGGTTCCCTGAGCACTGCCAAGCATAGCTCAAGAAAAAAAGATTTTAATAATTGAGAAATTCATACTATTAGTTGAACCAAGTCTTTCTCGACTCCACTACTTAATAGTGTGTTTTAGCAAGCGTCTCAAACTCTTGGGCTGTTTCCTTTCCTGTGGTTGTTCCCAGATCTTCCAGAGGGCCAATCAGGATTAGGCATTATGTGTATCACATTATGTCAGTGACTGGCACACATTGGCCAGTGGTGTGTGTTACTTGCTCCTACAAAGAGAAGCATTCTGAGCTCCCATGTACCTTTTAGGGGAGGGGGCCCCCAAATGGTACTCAGGGAACCTCGTAATACTTGGCCCAGTGCTCTTTGAGTCCAGCAGTGCTGAGGTCACCAAGGCCACACAGTCAGGCGACCATTGGGTTCCAGCAATCAAAAGCAAGGCCTCTTCTGGGGCTGGAGCTATAGCACAGTGGGTAGGGGTTTGCCTTGCACGTGGCTGACCCAGGTTCGATTCCCAGCATCCCATATGGTTCCCTGAGCACCATCAGGAGTAATTTCTGAGTGCAGAGCCAAGAGTAACACCTGTCTGTACATTGCCAGGTGTGACCCAAAAAGCAAAAAAAAGGTCTCTGAAAGCCAGGCATACACTCCAGCCCTCTTATCTAAAAGACCTGAGGGAGAAGGTGAAGGTGAGCGGTGCTACTTAAAATTATGTCCATTTCCTCATGTATCGAGTCATTTTATGAGGTAGTATATAATTTAGTTCATTAGCTGACTAATAAAGTTTTAGAGACTAAAAGCTGTAGATCAGGTTTATACATTAATAAAAATGGAGACATTTATATTTGAGGGGGTGGGGGGGGGTGGATGGTTGTGTTAAGGATTGAACCCAGGACCTCACAAGAAGTGTTCTCATAAATCAGCCCCAGGAATGCTTTTTAAAATCTGGGCCAGAGAGCACACAGAGTTTAAATTAGGTACTTGCCTCAACGGCTAATCTCATGGTTCAATCCCCAGCATATATGGTTCCTCGAACACTGCCTGATTAAGGCCTGAGCACTGACAGGTATGACCCAAAAACAAGGAGAGACTGGTCCACACACCTCTTATTACTCAAATACTAGAGACCCAGAATTTGACTTTCCGGTCAAGGGGGACTAAACACCACACCATCTTCTAAGCGGGAGATGGACAACAGGGATGGGGCGCTTAGCCAGCACAACCAGCCCTATATTCTCCCACCAACTACACTACAAAAATAAGCAGCTGACATGAAAGTGGTGACTTGTCATCCTGAAGCTCTTAACCTGTGATATGTCGCTGAGACATTTCGAATGGAATATTCAGGGTTTCCTCAAGCAAATGGAATATTACTACACATCACACAGAAATATTGCACATCACTCCTTTATTATACTGATCTGGAAAAGATTTAGTACAGTTATGCTCAAATGAGTACCAAGCAACTGGAACATGATTCAGATATGAGACTGAAAAGACACGCTTGGACATGGTCAAGAGGCATTTCACTGACACAGAACAGGGAGGCAGGGGGACTAAACCCGGCAGGAACAGCCCTGTAAGAAAGGTCAAGGGGCCTCTCATGCCAGTGAGGAATGGCTTATCTTTTGATGACCAAATGTGTGACTATTTCAACTGCCACTAGAAAAACCAGAAGGGTTTTTGTTTTGTATTATGTATATGCCTATACTGATCTTTTTGTGAAAGTAAATGCAACACAAAACATTCAGGATTGATCCTAGTCCTCTGGGGTCAGGGAGGAAAGGTTTATTTGACTCACCATGCAGATGACATTCACCTTCCAGTGGAATGACTAGAAACCCCTCTCCCACACGCAACACAGTCAGGCCTCAGTACCATTCTTCCTCTGACTCCAACTCTTCCTTAGTAATAAAGCACTAGCAAAGCCCCGAGTTACTACTCTTGGCTCAGTCATTCCTTGGCTTGGCCTGACGACCCAGGCCCCAGAGGAGCCATTCTGACTTGACTGTATGAAGGGAGTGGGTGCAAGAGACAAGATGGGGAAGATGAATTGGGAGCCACTGACCCCCAACTGCAGCTACTACCGACGATGCCCAGAGATGTGGTCAGTGCGAATGTGCAAGGGAGAGGGACAGAAATGGAAGGAGGACAGGGAGGTGTCGCGGGAACTGGTGCGCCTGCTCGCCTTCACTTCTTGACCTTGCCCTGAGCGGCCACAGCCTCCATGGCTTTACGCACGGTCTCTTCATCCCCCAGGAACTGCATGGGCTTGATGGGCTTCAGGTTCTTGTCCAACTCGTAGACGATGGGAATACCAGTTGGCAGGTTCAGCTCCATGATAGCCTCCTCAGAGAGACCTGAAAATACCACCATGATCAGCCACACAGATGCAGCCCATCACCCCCATACTGCCTTTCCTCAGGATACGGCGTATGTACCCTAGTAGATGGGGGTAGGAATTAAAGCCCCACTTTCTGACATTTGTGGTAACAGCAAAGACTAGTAGATCAGTGACCCAAGGAATGCACCTAATAATGCAGCAAATACTTCTCAGTCCTTGGGAAGCAAAAAAAAGGGGGGGGGGGGGACTAGACTAGAAGGCTCAAAAGGGTGGGAACAGGCTTTGAATGGGGGGGGGGGGGGCGCCTTGGATCTTGGATATGCAGGGAGTGACTCAAGAATACTCCAGAGAGAAAGGTGTGTCACGGATCCCATTCATTCCCCAGAGCCCAACGAGGTGGCAGGACCGCATCCGTCTCCAATGTTCTGTATTTCTCCAGTCTGTCCACAGCCAGTCTGGGAGTTACTCTGCTTTGCTGGGTCTCTCCCATGAATGAAGGAAGCATGCAGGTTAGGAAAGAGCTCAGCTGGAGCACATTCTTCGAAGCTTGGAGACTTTTTTTTTTTAATTACACCTGGTGCTCAGGGCTTATTCCTGGCTCTGCACTCAGGGATCACTCCTAGTGGTCCTGAGGAACCATGAGGTGCTGGGGATGGAACCTGGGTAACTACATGCAGGGCAAGCACCCCACCCCCATTGTACTATCACTCTGGCCCCTGGAGCACATGCTTTGTTTTTGGACCATTCCTGATCTGCACTCAGGAGTCACTCCTGGCAGTGTTTGGGGGACTAGGATGCCAAGGATCAAACTTGGATTGGCCACATGCAAGACAAATAAATGCCCTTCCCACTGTATTCTCTCCAGCTGGAACACATGATTTGTATGAGGAACCTAGGTTCCATCCCCAGCACGTATGATGCTTCAAACACCACAGGGAGTAACCTCAAACAGGGCACCTACAGTACCAATGGGTGAGACTGGGAAAAAAAGGTGAAGGTAATCTCTTTTCCTCTTCAAAAAAAAAGAAAAACTAGTATGAGTAGGGTGATAATTCAAAGGGCTGAATGCAGACATTGCATGCCCAAGGCTCTAAGTTTAAGGACCTGGGTTTAATCCTCAGAGCACCTCACCCCTAAAAACAATCCTGGGGAGGCTCAAAGTAAGTAAATCAGCATTATCTGGTTCTTTAGGCCCTGAGGTAAAACTTTCTAAGGTGAAAAGAACCGAGATTCACAAGTGGAACTTTGTGAATCTTTTACCATTTTGTGACTGAGAGGATTTTATCAGCAGATTCAACCCTAGTCAGAGATAAGCTTTAAAGAGTCTCTGAATCATGTAGGTGCCACATGCAGCTCTGAATCAGATCTGGAGCAAGCCCAGGCGTTTCTACCTACGCCCAGGGGTCTGGCTGCTCTGCAGAAGGTGCTCTGAGAAGAGTAAAGGATGTGCCCACAAGGCATCAATGCCAACTGTCTCTAAGGCCATGAGCACACCGTGGCCTTCTGCACTATCCCTCCCGTGGCCCCGTAGAATACCTACCCTCCAGATGCTTGACGATGCCCCGCAGGCTGTTGCCGTGCGCTGCGATCAGTACCCGCTTTCCCTCCTTGATTTGAGGAACGATTTCTTCATTCCAGAAGGGCAATGCTCTGGCAATAGTGTCCTTCAGGCTCTCGCAGGAGGGCAGCTGATCTTCAGTGAGGTCAGCATACCTGCGGTCCTAAACAACAACAAAAACCCAGCCCCCACCCAGTGATGAGCAGACCCACCTAGGAAACGGCTTCATGATTGACCCTTACCACCAAATAGGTCCAGGGGCCAGACGAAGTGACCAGCAGAGCCCTGGGTACAGGTGTGATCATCGTCCTGCCCCTCCCGCCCCTGGTACACACTACCAGCCAAGACTCAGCAGTCGGAGGAAGTGAAGGTCACTTGGTGGACAAACAGGACTGTAATGAACTTTGCTGGGGACACATGGTGAGAAGGGTGAGTAGGCAGACATGACACCCAGGGTGCCTCCCAGATCCCAGGCCCCTGGTCCCGCGAGCCACGCCTCAGCCGGTGCCTACCTTGCTGATGGTGCTGTAGAAGGGGTGGTCAGGCTCCATGGGAGGTGGAGGGACATCGAAGGAGCGCCTCCAGATCTTCACCTGGGCCTCGCCGTGCTTAGCAGCAGTTTCCGCCTTGTTGAGGCCGGTCAGCCCTCCGTAGTGCCGCTCGTTGAGGCGCCAGGTCCTCACCACTGGCAGCCACATCTGGTCAATGGCGTCCAGCACTGTCCAGAGAGTCCGGATAGCTCTCTTCTGCACGGAGGTGAAGCAGATGTCAAACTCATAGCCAGCATCTAAAATGAAAAGATTAAAGCGATCAACTGGGAGTCGGGGGGGGGGGGGGCACATGGGGCCCGGAGCGTGTCCTAGCTCTGCCCAGATCTGCTCTCAAGCCCAAACTGTCTTACACATCCATCTTCCATAAAGGAAGTCCAAACCATTTCACCATATATTTTTATATGTGTGTGTGTATATATACACACACATACACACACACACACACACATATATTTTAAAAAACTCAGGAAAAACAAGAATATTCTGTAAGGGAAATAAAATGTATTGACTGATGCTGCACTTCACAACATGCCTCCTCATGAGTCACATGTGACTCATCAAACCCAATGTACGATCAGCTAAGAGTGATCTGTGCTTCTAATCCTAATTCCCAGAATGTTGTGCCTAATCACACTCTAATAACATATTTCTGCTTCAGTTTCTTTGAAGAATATTAAAAACTTGAGCTCTCTTTAATCTTTATTGCAGGCTTACCCGTCTCTCACACACTGAGCTAAGTACTTTATTTGGTCTTAGTAACAACCCTCATAACCTATTTCATCAGATAAAATGAAGACAACAAAAATTATCCCAAAATGCCCTGACACAGAGGCAGGGTGAGATGGGGGGAATGGAGGGTGGGAGGGATGCTGGGACCCGTGGTGGTGGAGGATGGGCACTGGTGAAGGGATGGGTACTTGACCATTGTACAACTGAAACCCAAGCACAAAAATTTGTAAGTCTATAACTGTACCTCATGGTGTTTCACAAAAAAAAAAAAATTATCCCAAGTTCACAACCATTGCTGGTTCTATGTACCCCCCCAAAATTCTACTCATAACCACCATTTCTAGCTCCCACCACCATTTTTTTTTCAGGTCACACTGGGCGGTTCTCATGAGTTATTTCTGGCTCTACGCTCAGGAATTACTCGTGAGGGTACACAGGGACCCATACAGGATGCTGCAGATCAAACCAGGGTTGGCCACAAGCAAGGCAAGCCCTACCCACTGTACTATAGCTCTGCCCCACTTTTTCTAATTGTAGCAATCTTGGTGTTTTCATTAGAACTGTTACTTATAAAAGTAGTGTATCTCTCAGAGCTTGCACCCAGCAATGCCCATAAGACCATCTGGTGCCAGGTTTATGAAGCCTAGGCTCCCCGCACGTTTCGCTTGCACTCAGCCCTGTGAACTCTATTTCTCCAGCCCCCAAAAGGCTATTAACAACCTGTACACAGCAGGAGCTCCTTAGGGATGCTGTAAATTTTTCGGTTTGTGGCATGAGGTCTTATTTTCACTGCAAAGTGTGTGAACTGTGGGCTGGAGAAGTAGTTCAAAGGGTTAAAGCACACACTTTGCATGTGGGAAACAGGTCTGAATCCCAAGCACAGAGCCTGGAGTAACACCCCGATCCCCAGCACCCACTTCCTCTCTGCTACTGTTCCAATACTCGCCTCTTCCTGAGGACCTTTAAAGGACCATATCGCCTTAGAACCGACTGTTAAGCTTCAGAGTAGCCACCATGCAGTGGACAAAGAACAAAGGCTATGCACAGTATGGCTCATCCAAACAGTCTACTCTCCATACACAGCAGGTAAGGATTAGTGGGAACCAAGAGTGAAGCTACCCAATCAGCAGACCCAAGCTGCACATTTCAAGAGGTTAATCTCCCCGTCACCACCCCCTTCCATTTCCATGGGGACCTGGCCCTTTCCTTACAGAGTCGGGAAAACACCTCCTCTCCCAACTTCAGCACAAACTTTCCTGGGCACTGCCCCCTAGCAAGGCCGCTAAGAGCAACTCATGTGAGATAAATGAAACTACAGACAGGGGAAAGGGAAAATTAATCACCAAGAAGCCCATGTCCCCCTTTTTGTTGTTCTCAGGCCACACCTGGCAGTGCTTGGTGGCTACTCCTGGCACTCATTCAGGGATGGCTCCAGGCAGTGCTCAGGGGACCAAACGGTGCCAGGATCCAACCCAGGTCTCCAGCATGCAGAGCACGTGCTCAGCCCGCTGAGTGCTCTTGCTCACTCTCTCCCTTCCTCCTCAACACACCCATCTTTACCCGTGAGGGTAATGCCATCGCTAGACCTCAAGGCAAGTCCCAGCAACTCCAGTGCCACCTTCTCTCTAACCGCCCCCCACCCCCCAAGCCAGGGAGGAGTGACACCCCCATAAAGGCTGAGTCACTGGGAAGCCACTGTGCTTCCCTGCAATTATTTCCATCTTCACATTGCATAGGTCCCTGGAGAGAAAGCAGTTCCCCCAGGACTCTTCAACAGTGACTTTCACTGGCCTGAAACAAAAGCAGGAACCCAGGACATTCCAGAGGAGGGGGGATGAGCCAGGAGTAAAGCCTGAGCACCACTGGGTGTGGCCCAAAAGCCAAAGAAAAAGAAATTGTAAAGCCCTGGAGTGCAGAGACAGTCTTATGGCCCAGGTTCATTCCCTGGCACCATATAGGCCCTTAAACACTGCCAGGTGTAACCTCAGACCATCTTTCCTCTCCCCCCCAAAAAACATGTTATAGCCCTACATCACTTAAAGCTTTGGTATTTTGGGTCTTTTTTTTTTACACCATTAGCTTACTCATAATGTTATTCACAGTTATCTTCATATTTAGAACTCTTGTTATTAGTCTCTCTTAAGTGTATCTTCTAATATATGTGATACAGATATTAAGATTTGAGGGAGGGGGCTGGGTTGATAGTACAGCAGGTAGGGCGTTGTTTGCCTTACACATTGCCAACCCAAGTTTGATCCCCGGCATTCCATATGATCCCCTGAGCCCGCCAGCAGTGATTCCTGAATGTAGAGCCAGGAGTCGGCACTGAGCACCGCCAGGTGTAACCCATAAAACAAAAAATAATTAAAAAAAAAGAAATATTTGAGAGTTTTGCCATATCTGGCAGTGCTCAAGGACTACTACTGGTTATGTGCTCAGGGATAACTCCTGACAGTACCTGACGGACTATGTGGTGCAAGGGATCACACTAGGGTCGGCCACATGAATGCCTTAACCACTGTGCTATCTCTTGGATCCTAGAGAGTAAGATTTTCAAGTGACTTTTCCCTCCCTGGGTAACACCAAGCAATGCTAAGGGGCTACTCCCAGCTCTGTGCTGAGGGGGAAGGGGGGTTCTCCTGGCAACACTCAAGGAACCACACCATGCCCAGGACTAAGGGCTGAGCACCACTGGGTGTGGCCAAAGGGGGAAAAAAAGCATTATTTTTAGAAAGATTGCAACTATTTATCTTTAGTTGCCTCTCAGGATGGAAGCTAGAGAAAGGGGCCGAAGTGATGTAACAGCAGGTAGAGCGCTTGCCTTGCACACTGCCCAACCCAGTTCAATCCCCGGCACCCCATGTGGTCCCCAGAGCCCACCAGGAGTGACCCCTGAGTGCAAAACCAGGTGTAAGTGCAAGCACCATCAAGTGTGAGTTCCCCCACTCCCCCAAATAAATAAAGAATGAAGAGAGGAGCCAAGTCCTGCTGGGTACCAGTCAGGCTTCCCTGACCCTTCCACAAGGCTCCTACGGATGGTCTCAGCTACACACAATGGCAACGGCAGTATTCTGTGCGCTGCAGGGGACAAGCGTAAGCAGGCAGTGTGACTTATCACACTGTCACTTCCACCTTTGCCCGGCCGGTCCTTGGCCAGCTGCCTTACCCACTCAGTTCCTCGACCTATCTGTTACTCAACCCCCCAGATTTGGGGCCAGGGCGCTGGGCTTACGAATAAGGAGAGATGACCTTGGACAAGTCATCGCTCCAGCCCTCACTCTCCCCAATGCTAAACCAGGCCCAGGAGGAGTGGGGTGGTTGGCTGGGGAGGAGTGGGGAGCGGGGGAGTGCCGGAGAGGGTCGACTCCCGACCACCCATTCATTCATTCATTCGTTGCACAAGCAAGCCCTTGTGGTTGCACTCCGGGTGCACGGCTTGTGGAAAGCTACAGAACAGCCCAGCCCTCAGGACGCTTGTGGATTTCTCTGCCGCACGTCACTGCCCGGTGCCCGGCCTGGGGGGGTGGGGGGAAGCGGGGGAGGGGCCGCCCGGGAGGGGGGGCGGCTCGGGTGTGTGTGTGTGTGTGTGTGTGTGTGTGTGTGTGTGTGTGTCTGGGGGAAGGGGAGCCGGCCCGGCGTGTGTGTGTGTGTGTGTGTGTGTGTGTGTGTCTGGGGGAAGGGGAGCCGGCCCGGCGTGTGTGTGTGTGTGCGTGTGTCCGTGTCCCCGGGGAGGCTCAGTGTGTGTGTGTGTGTCCGTGTCCGTGTCCCCGGGGAGGCTCAGCCGTCCCTGGGGCAGGCTCGGTGCCAGTCCCAGGAGCCCGGGCACGAAAAGCGGCCCCTGGGGCCGGCCCGGGGTCCTCCCCCGGGTGACCTTGAGCGAGCCGACCCCACCCTGCACCCCACACCCCGCACCCCCTCATTCCGGCCCATCTTCCCCGTCGCAGGCGGAACCCTGCCGTGACGTCCTTCGCCTCGGCCTCCCCGGGGAGGGCGCAGGCCGGGCCCCCCGCGCCCCCCGCGCGCGCCCCGCGTCCCGCGCGCACCTCGCAGCGCCTGCCCGCCGCGCTTGGCCTCCTCGTGGCCCGCCGGGCTCAGGTCCGCGTCGTACCAGCCGCTGAAACGGTTCTCCAGGTTCCAGGCGCTCTCGCCGTGCCGGATCAACACGAGCTTGTAGGCGGCCATGACGACGGCTCGGGCTGCGGCGCAGACTGGCGCTCGCCGAGATTCCCGAGCGGCGGCCCGGCCCCCGCGCGCGCCTGCGCACACGCGCCCCGCGCCCGCCGCCCGCGCCCCGGCTCGCGCAAATCTCTCCAGGGTCGCGGCCCCGCCCTCCACACGCCCGCTCTGCGCCTGCGCTCCGAGGAAGGGGTGGGGGGAGGGAGCGCGCGCGGGCGGTGGCGCGCATGCGCGCGCGGGCCCGGGTGGCCGCGCATCCGCCGCGCCCCGCACGGAGCGCACGTAAGCGCCGCCGCCCCCGCGCTCCCGCGGCCCCATTCATCGGCGCGGTCGGCGGCGGCCCGGCCCCGCCCGCCCGGGCGCAGGGCCGAGGCACGCGCTCCCGTTTCTCATTTGCTCCGCGTCCCTGGGCAGGACAGCAGGTCCGCTCACCGAGCGTGCACAGAATCAATAAAACGGACAGCTTGAGGGCCGAGCCGGCGCCGGCCGCCCGGGGAGGCGCTCGGTGAAAAGTTGTCACTCGCGCTGTCTCTGATTTTCAGCGGCCGTGGTTCCCCCACGTGGCGCCTGGCCAGCTACTCGGATTCCAAAGCTCCCCTGTTCTCTCTCGGCCACGGCCAGTGCCCCGTGGGCCTCCGGATGTCCTGCAGGACACCGCAGACAGGAGCTTACTGCCCGGCCGCACTGCACGGCTCCAGCCGGACGCCAGCCAGGCAGGGCACCTGGGCCCAAAGCGAGTGGAGTGAAAATTCTGCCCTTCACAGCACGTGGAATTCGAATAAGACCCACAGGTCAACAGTTAACGATGGGAGTAAGATTCACAACACCACAGTTGCACTTTCTCCGTCGCTCCTTGTTTCTCCTTCCCTTGTTGGGATCGGGAGTTCCCTAGCCCTGGGAGGCACGGAGAGACCAGATAGACACAATTCCTGCAGGAGTAAAAACGGGGTTTATTTAGACCAGCATGCTGGGGCTCCGCAGCATACCCCAGAAATGGGCAGCGGCTGAGAGAGCCCCGAACTTCTTCAAAGGGGATCTTATATAGGCCTTCACTGGCCGTTACAGCAAAGCCCGCGCATTTCATAGCCAATAGATTTGTAACAACATATACTTTCTTAACCAATCCATTTAAAATTACCTCACTCCTTAGCCTATAGATTCAAAGATCAGCATTTACGTACATCGATTGTCAGCACAAGCAAGGTTATAGCTGGAATCATTAAGCCTTAGGTAATCTCCCTTGACCATCCTCGTTTTGAGTTACCCAAGTCTGCAGGGTGCTTTAGTGAGACAATACATTCCAGGAAAGGGAAATTTCCCCCAACCACCCGCATCAATACATTCCAGGAAAGGGAAATTTCCCCCAACCACCCGCATCCTGAGTTATCCTTTACCCAAATCTGCAGGGTGCTTTACTGAGATAATACATTTCAGGGACAGTAAATCACTTTCCAAGTCCCCTCTCCCCCAGGTGCAAAGCAGCCAAGCAGTTTTACAGAAAGCAATGTTGCAAGTTAGCTAAAGTACACAAAAATTTGATGCCCTAATATGGATTCTTTCACCCTCTCTTGCTCTCTTTCTCCCAGTAGTCCTCTTAAGTTCTCTAAAATTCTTTAACTTCTCACACACGCATAGGATGAAAAAAGAAACCAGGGCTGGAGTCTGATAGTAGATACCCTGATAGATATTGTGATAGTAGAGGGTAGGGGGTTTGTCTTGCACAAAGACCCTGGTTCCATCCCCAGTACCCCCCAAGCCCACCAGAAGTGATCCCTGGGCCCAGAGCCAGGCGTAATCCCAGAGCACTGCCAAGTGTGGCCTCAAAACAAACCAAAAAAAATGTTTTAAAGATGAAGTTGTATACTCTAGGCTGGGGGTTTGGGGTGGGGAGGGACCTCTTTGGTGCTGGACAGCTACTCCTAGTATGGTGCTCAAAGATACGGTAGTGGGGAGCTAAAGGGCTTCCTACATATATTGCAGCCTTTGAAGTCATCTCCTCTTGTGCTCTGTGGATAAAGAGTCTGGGAGGGGCTGGAGCGATAGCACAGCAGGTAGAGCGTTTGCCTTGCACGTGACCCACCCGGTTTCGATTCCCAGCATCCCATATGGTCCCCCGAGCACCGCCAGGAGTAATTTCTGAGTACAGAGCCAGGACTAACCCCTGAGCATTGCAGGGTGTGGCCCAAAAAGCAAAAAAAAAAAAGAGTCTGGGAAACATTTTTTCAGGGAGGGGGTGGGCGTGACCCAATGGTGCTCAGGGCTTGTTCCTGACTCTGCGCTTAGAAATCATTACTTGCAGTGTTCTGGGGACCAAATGGGGTGCCAGGGATGGAGTGAACCCACATGCCATGTGTGCAACCACATGCAAAGCAAGTACCTTAACCCCTCCCCACCCCTCCAGAAAAGTTTGCATCACACGCCCTTACCACTACTATTCTGTGCCGACTGTTACATAGAGTGTTCTAGCTGGTCTCGGCATCCTCAGAGTGATCAGATGAGACAGACGCCGTGGTTTCCCCATTTACCGATGGAATGCAGGCACTTGGTCAAGGTGACAGGAACCCAGATTCAAGCCTAATCTGGTGGATTCCCAAGTGCACACTGTTCTCTACTACTCTCTCTGACCTCCATATCTTTGTTACTTTCTAGACTTTTGTTGAAGTTGAAATGTGGGAAGAATTTGAGAGGGAGAGAGAGAGAAAAGGGCAATCTGGGAACAGATTGAACCCATACTGACCAGTCATGAGACATGTCAAAAGTGATTGGATGCAGTGTTCTGGGAACCAAATGGGGTGCCAGGGATAGACCCCCTCATTCGATCATGAAATGCTGCTTTTTCTGAGAGCTTAATATGTCCAGTGTTTACATTCTTCCTGTCTTCCAACATTTCCTATAATGTAGCTACCATCGAGCTCCATTTCCCAGATGGAAAACCGAAATCTGGACAAATAATTTTTCCTAAGTCACAGCTCCAAATGGAGAAAACTGGACTCACCTCTGGCCCTGGAGCCTGGTGTGAGCACTGCCCAAATGGTCAGGCTCCTGTGGCTAGACAGGAGTGGAATTAGTGACCACCCACGAATGTAAAGAGGTCTAGTGGGACAGGCTGTACCCAGAGCCCCCTGAATCTGGACTGCAAAGCGAGAGCACCTGGGAAAGCCACCTGACTCAAACTTTGGGCGTGTCCCAAAGATGTCCAGATGTCCTCGAAAAGAGGCCCTGGAGGAAGTTCCCTCCCTGGTCATGCCTGCAACTTAGTGATCCCCTTTCGGACATCTGGGTCCTTCCAGGAGACTGTCCAGCCCCAACCTCAACTTTACTGGATTACGCTTCCTGTCTTCCTGCTGTGGTCAGAAAGCGTGTGTGTCTAAACCCTGTGGGTCTATCTCTTTCTCCTCCCCCACTCCTGCTTGTAACCCATGGGTCTGTGCTCCTGTTCAGTTGGGACCTCACATTTTTTATTTCTTTTTGGGTGACACCTGGTGATGCACAGGGGTTATTCCTGGCTCTGCACTCAGGAATTACCCCTGGCAGTGTTCAGAGGACCATATGGGATACTGGGAATCAAACCCATTGGCCACATGCAAGACAAAAACCCTACCTGCTGTGCTAATGCTCCAGCCCCAGGGGGCCTTGCATTTCTGCAATATATAAGATGTGTAAGTGGGGAGGAAGCTGAGTTTAGATAGACCTGGTGGCCAGGGATAGGGCTAAACAGTAAAGCACTTGCCGTGCATATGTGAAACCTGGATGTGATTCCCACAAACCACAAAACAGACACAGAATATTCATCTGCTTTGGGTGTTTTACATCTCATCCTCGGTTTCCCCATCTGTTAATTGGGACAGTAGCCTTCTCGTACCCACCTAAGGCACTATGGTGAAGAGAATCTGAGCTGCTGCTCCACTATTGCATAGTCTACTTAGCAGTAGACAACAAACAACAAAATTAGTCAAGAATAATCATGTTAGGGGGCTGGAGCGATAGCACAGCGGGTAGGGCGTTTGCCTTGCACGCAGCCAACATGGCCGACCCAGGTTCGATTCCCAGCATCCCATATGGTCCCCTGAGCACCGCCAGGAGTAATTCCTGAGTGCATGAGCCAGAAGTAACCCCTGAGCATCACTGGGTGTGACCCAAAAAGCAAAAAAAAAAAAAAAAAAAAGAATAATCATGACAGGAAAAAAAAATACAACCCCATTTGTTTCGTATTGCTTTTGCTGTCCTTTCCAATAAAGTTGAATCATTAGATATAACTCTGAAATCCACATCCTGTAAAGTTTTGCCTATTTCTCTTCAATGTATTTTATGGATTCTGTTCTAACCGTGAAGTCTGTCTGCTGAGAAAACAGAGTCACATGCATAACAAATAAAATGGACCTTTATCACACACCATACACAAAAGCAAATTAAAGTGAATCAAAATACAAAAAACAAAGAATAATCATGACAATTTTGTTACTGACATATTAATAATAAATGCTGGCATTGTGATCAAGAAAGCAAAAACAAAATGAATGAGGGGTACCCATTCAGAATGAGTCTGGGGGCACTTGTCCAGACTTCCCTTCCCACATCCTGGTGGGGATGGCTTGCCCTGGAATTGGAACTGGGCATAGAGTTAGAATAATACAGCCAGGATGAAGGCTATCTGTGCCACCAGCCTTCGGGGTGGGGCAAGGCCAAGAAACAAGTTCCCCCTCTGCCTCCAGAAGGAATCCCTCATCTCCCTGGAATTTATTTTAGGGGAGGGGGGGGCCACACCTGGCGGTGCTCAGGTTACAACTGACTCTTTGCTCAAGAATCACTCCTGACAGTGTGCAGGGGACCATATGGGTTGCCAGGGATTGAATCCTGGTGGGTTATGTGCAGGGCAAGCACCCTACCTACTGTACTATCCCTATCCCTCTTGGCCTCCTTTCCCTGGGATTCTAAGGAACTCTGACCCTTTGTGCACCTCCCTCCTCCATAGATTAGCTGCCGTGTGTCGTCAGAGTTGGTGTAGGTGACTGAGCTAGTCAAAAAGAAACTTCTTTATTGGGGTGGGGCACACCCGGCATTGCTCAGGGGACCATATGGGTTGCCAGGGATTGAACCATGGTCAGCCACGTGCCAGGCAAGCAC